ACCCCTGCACACCCGCACGCACGCACGCACACAAGCACGCGCGCCGGGGAAGGTAATTACATAAAGTATTTTATTATAGCAAGCGGGTGACCACCATTCCTTTGCGGTTTAATTATGGCAGGTAAAGAGTTTAAACTGAAACATAACTTTAATGGATGGCAGGGCAGCGCGTTCCATTCATTCCTAGCAAGGTGGGGAAGGGAGAAGGTCCGCAGAGCCAGCCTAGGCTGCTCGGTGGCCGAGGGGCGCTGCCCACAGGCACCCACGCCAGTGCGTCCATGAGCCGAATATCTGGCCTGCGAAGGCCAGGCTCCCAAGCCGTGGTCTTCCTTTCGCTGGGGTATTCTGGGGATGGGGGGGGGCGGACACAACCCTCAGCAACAAGTTTTTAAGATGGAGATGGAGCCCCATTGAAATTTGCCATTCTTGCTGAGCGCTTCTTCCTTCCTTCTCGTAATTAGCAGGGAAACCACCCCAGGCTTAGGTGCAGAACTTTGAAGATGAGGAGAATGGAAATATTAATTTCATTTTTTTCAATTTTTTTCAGAAAAGATCACGTTTGTTTTTAGATTTAGCATCAGGTTTCTTGGACCACAACTGTGTTCCTTTTTAAGGTGCCATAAAAGTCATCTTTGATATTTATTTGTTGATTTATTATTAATGGCTTCCAGGATTTCTCTATCTTTCCAGAAGAGTCAGGCCAACCAAGGATTATGGGAAGGATTACCACCACCACCACCCCTGCATGCCCACACGCACATATAAACGCACACAACAGCGGATTTGACTCTCCATCTATGGGGACTAATCCTTACACTGCCCAGTCTACCTTGAACATATTTCAAGTTTTTCAGCATTCCCTTTTTTTACATTCTTTCTTTGTTCTTTCTTTTCAAACAGATAACTCAGTTGAAAATCGACAACAATCCTTTTGCCAAAGGCTTCAGAGACACAGGGAATGGGAGAAGAGAGAAAAGGTAAGGGTGTGTCCAAGCTTCTATTTGCATCATTGGTCTGGTTTTGCAACTGTTATCAGATAGGGCTTGCCCAGAGGTCATTTTTTGGGGGGCTGTATGTCCCTTCCTCCCACCTTTCCACTTGTGGAATGAGAGGGGCAAGCAACACTGGAAACTTCAGCTTATTTATGTTCAAATGTACGTCTGCAAAGGCCCAAAGCTTGTGTTCAGTCAGCGGTACCCATGGACGAGTTTTCTTTCCCAAGACAAGGAAGGGCACAGTTTAGGACACCTATTGGTAATTTGAAATTTCAAGCAGAAAGCAGATCTGGAAAGCAAAAGTGAACTGAAAGTGTATTTTACGATATTACAGTAAGGTGATCTTAAATACACTTAGAATGAAATTCTTCCCAAGGATGAATTGAAAAGGGAAAATGGCCTTTAATATCCATCTGCCAGCCAATGCAGTAGAGGGGGGCGGGGGAAATAGATGCATCTGCTTTCTGATTATGGTTTGTCTTGACTTTATACTCATTTTGCGGGGAAAACACTTATTTACAAGCCATCTTTCTGGTTGCAAACAACTCTGTGGTGTGAGTGGGAAAGAATTTTGAAGCAAAAATAATTTGTAATGGAGGAATTGTTACTAAGTCCTTATAAGTTCTTTATGCTTTAATGAGAGAGAAGATCTTTACATGATCCATTTAAAAAATAAAATCTTTTTTTTCGGCTGGGTACACCCCAATTCATTTATTTACAGTTTTTGGTCAGAATGTAATTTTGTGAGGAAAACTGTTGGAGAACTCAGAATAACACAGTCTTAACTAAAGTTAAGGGAGAAACATATTTTCTCTCTGATTATCTGTAAACAGTAGAATATCCCTGGAATATGGTAATACTTTAAATAATTAATCTTCAGGAAGGCAGCTTTCCTTATCACGCACACTCCCTTATTCATTTAATGAATGCTATGTCCATCATCCTAATAGCTGAGACCTGCAGCTTTGCCCGAACTCTAGGAACATCAGCTGCTTTGCTTTGAAATGCTGATTGGGCAAGCTTTCCTGGTTTTAAGGATGTCCAACTTCCACTACAGAGGAAGAGGAGGATAGTTACTGTATATGCATGGTAGTAAATTGTTCCCTCGAAGTCAGCACAAAACACTGGTTCCTAAATGTTTGATCATGTCAGCACCACCATCCAGCTGAGGAATTGCACAGTAAACTGGAATGCTCCAAATTACAGAAGATTCTGTCTTCTTTCCCCTGGACTTAATGATAAATTGCTGCCTTTTGTCATTTCTGAAGTAATCACAGGGTTGGTTGCTCTCTGAAGCTCTGATGTGTATAACCTGATAGACTTACACATTTTGAGAGATCTCCAGCAACTTTTAATCTAGCCCAGTGAAATCAGCAGCCAGGCCTTCTGAGTTGGTGGAGGAGCATAGTCATAGGCCTGTTTACTCAAAAGTAAGCTTTAGTGCACTCAGTGAGGGGCATCTTCTATAGTTCATTAAGCCTAGGAGTCTGATCTGAAGTGGAAGCATACAAAATTCTGTGAAATGGTCTTACATGCTCTCGCTGATCTGACTTTAAATTCAGGTGGATTGGAATTTGCTTTAAGAAAGGCAAGGTTCTCCTCTGTCACAAAGAAATATATATATTATACTGTATATATATTAAATCCACCATGTTTCCCCAGAAAGCAACTGACCCTCCAATCAATGAGAGTTTATGACGAGAGGCAGAAAAAGGAGAATGGGACTTCTGATGAGTCTTCTAGTGAACAAACAGCTTTTAAATGCTTTGCTCAGTCAACTTCTCCTGCTGTGTCTGCAGTGGGTACCTCTAATCTTAAAGGTATGTTGCCTTTTCTTCTTCTTGCTCCCCCACATTCAAGGAATCCCCTGTTATCTTCCACCTTCTCCTATTTCTGGATTGTTCTCTTTTCAGTCCTTTCTGGATTTAAAACAGGAGCTTTGCCGAGATCAGTTTCCGGTGGGGATCATGATTGAACTGTTCATTTAACAAAAGCCCACATCCCTGTTTTGAAAAAAGGTCTGCTTGGAAACACTCCACACATCAAGATCCCACATGTCTTCCCTCTTTCTCTTTTGCACCTACAGTTCCTATCAGGTTTGTTCAAAACCAGGCAGCATTGGTGGAGGCGAGGGAGCAAAGACAGACTATAAAGGGAAGGTTCAAAATACTCCATGAATATTATTATAATGGAATGCCTTATTAAAGGAAAGAAAAAATCATTCCAAACTTTGTCTCCGCCTTCCCCAAATCCTGCTTGCTTTCATGGGACGAAAAATAGAAAGCAGATTAAACACAGGGTCAAATACAACTCTATACAGTACTGCTTCTCTACTTCAGTCTCTCCCCACCCCCTTCTTCTCTCCCTCCCACCTTTTAATATCTGGGAGTTATGGGCTGTGCAAAGCATTCTTCAATGCACCTAATCAGGAGAAAACTATATGGAACTGAATGGGATTTGTTGAGACTATGTGTATAAGGATGTTTGCATAGAATTGGAGCCTGAAATGCTTACATTCACGACTCTGGACTTTGCCATGTTGCCAAAAGAAAGAATGCACATTTTATATGACACCTTAAATTTAAAAAGAAGAAGCAGCAGAATGCTGGCTTTTACTCCCTCCTTCTCTCCCTCTCTCTCTCTCCCCCTTCTTTCTCTCTCTCTGTGTACGTAGGTGTACATACACATGCAGCAGATACTGTATCCAGTGCTAGAGAGAAGCCAGACCCTAACCTTTTCTTGCATTGGAAGAGGGGGAAATTGTTCCAAGAGCAGGATAAATAAAAGTTGGGAAATTAATGTTACACTTCCCTTGCCCCTTAGCCTTCCTTTTCTTCACTTGGGTGTTTATTATATAGAACCAAGTTGATAAGGAAGCCAGAGGAAGAACAGACTCCCTTGCTTAGATGGAGCACAACAACCTGTTGCCCTCCAGCTGTTTGGGACTACACCTCCCATGAACCCTGATAGCAAGACCCTAAAGGAGGCGATAGGGGTTGGGCTGAGACACAAGCACCATCACCTTGCACAGAGAAAGCTTATCAACTGGGCAAGGGACAAGTTTCCAAGGATACACTAGTTTTCTATGAGCAGGGATTGAACTCTACACCACTGGTTCTTAACCTTGGGTTAATCAGGAGTTTTGGACTGCAACTCCCAGAAGCCTTCACCACTAACTGTGCTGGCTGGGGTTTCTGGGAGTTGCAGTTCAAAAACATCCGAGGAACAAAGGTTAAGCACCACTGATCTAGACCACTAATTTTATAATGTGGAGGCTTCAATAAACTCTGTCCAATCCACAGTATGATGCAGTGCAGGTTAGACACAAAGAGAACACTCCTATCCCAACTAGGCCAACCTGTAGCAGGAGTGGAAACACACCTGGGCATTCAAAGCCAAGCAGCAGTCCAGGAGAGAGGACCCATTTGTTCGTAGGTATGGGGTGAGGGTAATGATGTCCTGGTAGAACCAGGCCATCAGTCTGTTCTGGTTATACTGGTCTTCCCAGGGGTGCTTGTTTTACCTCAGAGTAGTGATAATCCCCCTTTTTAATGAAGCTCCAAACTGGAACCCCAACGAAGACAGTCCAGCATGACTCACCTGCCTGTTTCCAATTGCTTAAAGACTGACCCTCACTTGGCTCTCCTTTCCTGCCAGATTTGAGCCCCAGCGATGGGGAAAGCGACTCAGAAAGCAAAGAAGACCCCTCAGAAGCCGGCGACACTGGGAAAATCTCAACCACTACTGCCTCCCTTACTGTTGCCAACAGCAGCTCTTCAGCAGCTGGAGGAAACGGGGCTGACCCGCGGGAGAAAATTAGTCCCTCCAAGATCCTGCTCTTCCCTCCGGACTCGCGGAGCGTCCGGGAGAGTGTCTCCAAGGCCCCACCACCACCGCCGGACTCTAGGCACAGCCCCTCCACCATCACTTCCAGCACCCGGGGCTTGGGTGGGGAGGAAGTCAAGAGCCCCCCGCGGGAGGACTGCCGGGGCTTGGCCAAGGAGCCCTTCAGCCCCTTGACGGTTCAGACAGACGGTGCCGCTTCTGCTGCTGCTGCCGCTGCCGCTGCCGCCGGCCACCTCACCCAGGGCCACTTGTCCAACCTGACTTTCTCCTCGCACGGCCTGGCTGGCCAGCAGTTCTTCAACCCGCTGGGGAACGGGCACCCTTTGCTTCTCCACCCCAGCCAGTTTGCCATGGGTGGCACCTTTTCCAGCATGGCTGGGATGGGGCCTCTACTTGCCACCGTCTCAGGGGCTTCGGCTGGAGTAACTGGGCTGGACAATACAGTGATGGCCACGGCAGCAGCAGCCCAGGGCTTGTCTGGAGCTTCAGTAGCCGCCGCCGCCGCAGCTTTGCCCTTCCATCTCCAACAGCACGTCCTGGCCTCGCAGGTAATTTCTTGGGTTGGTGGTGGGATTCCTTTCTTTCCACTCCTTGGGGTTTTTGCTAAATGTCTAAGGCCCCACCACTAAGGAACAAGTGAACCCCCTGGGAGAAACCAAGCTTTGCCTTGAGAGTCCTCTTACTCATTTCCCCCACCTCCAGGCTTGGGGATCCCAACCCGGGTGACAGCGTTTGGTTTTTGTTGGCTAGTTTGCTTGATTAAAACTATTCTTTCCCTTGTCCATTTGCTTACTTATTAAAACCAATTATTGCTCTCTCTTTTTTTTTTACTCTGGTCCCCTCCCCCACAAGCCCTAAATAAGAAAAGACATTAATGAAGCAATTTTAAAAGCTCACATTCTTGAAAGCCGATTGGGTGGGGGCTTTAAAACCAGTAAATGTGTTGGAAAGTAAGAGAGAAAAGAGAGGCTTGTCTGCCTGAAAACACTTTCCTGAACAAAGGCAGAGAGAAAAGAAATCAGAAAATGAAAATTGCAATGTAGCAGACCCGCTTGCATGAATGGCCTATTACTCTGCCATGAACTTCTGCTTGATTACCACACGGAGGTCCTTTGCAATTTTGAAATCTGGCAGTGAGTTCCAAGGACAGTTGGCCTGTTGAATCACTGGGGCTTTGGATCCAGTCTTTATTTTATATATGGGAGAAGAATATCCCTAACAGATAGTTTTCCTCTGACTTAGTTCATAGCAAATGCTCTCTCCTTTTTGCTCTCTGTTATTTCTTTAATCTTTTACCAAATCCTCCAGGGGAGAACAATCAAGATAATGCAGACAGGCTACCCTGTGTCTCCTGGCAACCAACAGGCCAGATAGGCGGTGGCTGGGGAGACAAGCAAAGGGAGAGAGAGAGAGAGCCCGGGTCCAATGCAGGCAGTGCCTTTCATGGCCGGGGAGTAATTTAAACCCACTTCTCTTTGGTTATAGACCCATGTTAAATTTATTTACAAATGTGCTCAGAAAGCTTGAAATAAACCAAACCACTTCACTTCTCGATTATTTTTGGACTGTTTTAGTGTAATTCACTCTCCAGAACCCTCTCCTTTCTCACTAGAGGAGTTCCTGAAGGCAAAGGCCTGGAGAGGAACAGAGAGAAATGTCAAGGAAGGCTCCTCCAAACTCTAAGGGTTCTCTGTTGAACAAGGACAAAGCCTGGTAAAGCCTTAAGGACTAACAAGTTTTCTTTGGCGTACACTTTTCTGCAGCAGTCCAGAAAATCTTATTCCAGACAAAACTTTAAGGTGCCATTAGACACGTGTTTCTTGTCCTGGAACAGACTATCAGGGCTATCCTCCTGGATTATTAATATTTTTCTTCTTTTAACATGGACTGTCATCCAAACGTTGCTCTCGTTGCGTTTCACGTGTTTCTTGTCCTGGAACAGACTATCAGGGCCATCCCCCTGGATTATTAATATTTTTCTTCTTCTAACATGGACTGCTCTCGTTGCGTTTCCAAGGCAAGAGTTGGCTGCCCAAAGTGAAGTCAATATAAAACTCTCTCCCCCCCCCCCCCGCTCCACCTCCTGCAGAGGTGTTGACTTCCGCGGTTGGAATGGAAGCTGAGGGTGCTCAGCACCTTGCAAGAAGAATGATTGAAAAGGGATCGGAAGGTAGCAGCCGCTTGGCCGGAGGCCCTCCTCAGTCTTGGAAGCGCTGCAGATCCCAACGCCAAGGAGATGGGCTTTGGCTGAGGAACGGGCCGCCCAAGCGAAGGCCCGGGCCCGTTTCACATGCATCCCGTTCCCCCGCAGGCGATCTCCGGTAGCTCTAGCACAGTCCTTGCTCTACGGTTGGGGTGGCCGTTGTTTTTCCTCTACGGTCTGGTCTGCGCAGAGCTTGGAAAGGTTTCCGTATTTTGGCTCCCAGCATGCCTGGGGGTTGGAGTCCAAACAAGGAAGTTTGGGATTTGCAGAGAAGGGGCATCTCCATGCTCTTCCTTTCCA